TCAAAGACAAAAATGTTGACTTAAACAGCAATAGGATAAAGCAATTACAAGAAAGGTTAAAAGATATCACTTACTTTATTATTGATGAGAAAAGTATGGTGAGTTGATGAATGCTTAGATTGATTGATACACGGTTAAGACAAGCATTTTCTAATAATAGGAATGAAACTTTTGGCAGAAGATCTATTATAATATTTGGTGATTTTGGGTAGCTTCTGCCAATGCTCGACCTTCTAATGTATATAACATGCATTGTATAATATAATATCAAACGATGAAATAGCATCATATAAATACTTTCAAGAAGTGTATAAACTTAATATTGTTCAACAGCAATCAGAAGATTCTGAAGAACAATAGAGCTTTAGAGAAATGCTTTTATAGTTAAGGAAAGGAGATTGTAGTCTAAATAATTAGAAAGTACTTACTATGAGATTTAAAAAGAATTTAAATAAAAACGAGCGAGATCGATTCTTGGAAGCTGTATTCATACAAATAAGGTGAATTGATGTTGATAAAATCAATAATGAGATTGCTCAGATCTTTGAACCAACTAGTAACCAAAATAATTGCGATATATACAGGTAGACAGGATGCTAAAAAAGTTGACTCCAATGTGACAAAGGGTCTTGAAGCCCAATTGTTACTGGCAAAAGATTCAAGAGTCATGCTAACAGTAAATTTATAGACTGAAGAGGATTAGTTAATGGATCAATAAAAATTGTAAAAGATATTATATATAAGGAACATAGACCACCTTTACTCTCTGTAACAGTATTCATTAAATTCAAAATATATAATAGACCTACAATAACAAGCTTAAAAGGAGATGAAGTTGTTCTAATAGTACCTATCAAATGTAGTTGGGAAAGTAAAAGTGGGCTGTATTCTCAGATTCAGGTGCCAATATATCTTACATGAGCTATCACAATGCATAAGAGCCAGGGACTGATGTTAGAAAAGGCCAAAATAAATCTTGAAAATAAAGAGTTTGCTACTGGTCTTTCGTTTGTCGCATTATTACAAGTGTATTCACTCAACGATATTTACTTCAAGGAGTTCAGTTACGAAAGACTTGAATGCATTAAGAGCTGCAAATGACTATAAGAAAGTAAAAAAGAAGAAGAGTGGTTAGTTTTTATGATAGCGAAATAGTACAGAAATGAAATATTAGTGTTTTTTTTATTTTTATTTCTTGAGAAGGCAATATTTTTATTTTTGTTTTATTTCTTGTTCTTTCTCGTGAAGAAAAATTTTTATTTTTTTTCAAAACAAAAAAATAAAATTGACAATGCGAAATTTTTTTTTATTGATCGTGCAACTCAATTTTTTTTATCATGCAATTATTATGCAACTTCGGAAACTAATCATATATTGATTCATACTTTGAGCGGGCAGATAGACGGACATCTTGTATTACCACAGTCTAGACATATATAGTCCTTCGCTTCGCTCTAAACTAATAATTTTAAATATTTTAAAATAATTTATTTAATATTTAATATTTTTATAATATTTTATAATATTTTTAAGTAAAAATTCAAAAAAATGTAATTAATTATGATATTTTAAAGAAAAATATATAATAACTTATTATGAAAAAAGTTAAAATTTTAATCTTATATATTTTGCTATCTATTAATCTCAAAAAAATAAAAATATAATAATTTAATAAGATAAATCTAATTAACTAAATTTTATTTTTTTGTAATCATTAGATAATAAGTTATTTTAAAAAATTAAAAAATTATAAGAATTAATATTTAAAAACAGTCTAACAAAAGCTGAAATTCAGTAAATCACGTAATTTTAAGAAAATTACAGTTTAAAATTATTAGTTAATTTAATAAACTGCAATTTATCTGTTATTTTTAAAGATTTTTAAAATTGGTTTTATATAAAATTTTACAAAGAAGTTATTAAAAAAAAGTATTAGTTTTCTTTAGCAAGTTTATTTTTATTTATTAAATATAATAATAAAAAAATATAATAATTATAAATTATAAAATATTATATTTTTAATATGCTATATATAAATTATTTTTTTATTTTCTGAAAAATTAGATCAATAAATATGTAATTATAATAAAATTTTAAAATTAAAATTTTAGCTAAACCTTAACTTTTGCTGGACTGATCCTTATTTATTAATAATTATTAAATTTAAAAATTTAAAAATATTATTATTAGATATATCTTAAAATAATAAATCTAATAAATTTATTAAGAAAGATTTTTTTTCTCACTAATTTGAAAAAACTCTTAATTAAAATAGTCAATTCCTAGTACTAGCTTTTTATAATCTGATTTGGATCACATAATATAATAAAATAATAAATTAAAGTATTCTAAAAGATTTACAATAAAGTTAAAAAAAAAGAAGCTAAAGATAAAATATTTGATTATTTAAAAATTTATTCATTATACTTCAGATATGTAAAAACTTTAGTATATGTTAGCATTAAATTTTAGTTTTTTTTAGTTAGATTACTTAAAAAGATACTGATATTATTATTTGAATTTCTTGCTGATAATTAAATTATTAAATATAGATTTTTTAGTTTTTTCAGAAAAGAATTTCAGTGATTAATTAATCTAAATAAGTTTATAAAAGAATTATAGAGGATAGTTATAATTTGTTTTTTTATTGTTTTTACTTTTAATTTTTACTTTTTTAATCTTTATTTATAATATTATAAAATAAATTTAATAACTTATGATAGTACCATATCAAAAAAAAAAAAAATTTAATAAATTTTATTTCATTTTTTTATGATCATTAGATATTAAAATATTATAATTTTTTTATAATATTTTATAAATAATTTTATAGCTATATTTTAAAGAATAGCTATTAATTAAATTTTATAAAATATTATTTTTTTAATAATATAAAAGACAAATTTATCTACAATTTTATTTTTATTAAAAGAATTTTATAATTTATTATCATTAACATTTTATTGTTAGTCTCTAATATTATATTTAAATAAATTTATGTATAATTAATACTTTATTCAATAATTTTATTAAATATATTTATTATATAAGCTATTTATTAATATAACATGTTTTATTAATATATATTATAATACTAATTATTGCATATTTTATTCTTAATATAGATAATGAAATATATATTAAAAAATAATACATATAAAAAAAATTATAACTGACAGTTTTTTTGATAATGATTAGTTTTCTACTTTTTTTTTGCAATGTTACTGATTTTTTCATTTAAGCTTAATAGTTTTAAGAAAAGAAAAATCAAATTTCTTATAGGCAAATTAATAAAGAACTAGAAAAAAAAGATCAAATTCTTTTATAAATATAAAGCAAAAAAATTAAAAGTATTTTAGCAGCTTATGTTGCTAAATAAATAATCTGTTTTTATAATTTAGTATAGCTGTCACTATATTTTCATTTTCATCTTAACCTTATGGTTTGAGTTTTTTTTCAGAAATTTATTTATAATTATAATAACTCTAATTTTAAACCTAAATTCTAATTTAAATATAAAATCTAATTATAATATAAATATTAACTTAATGTTAAATCTAATATAATAAAATAATTAAAAAATATAAATTAGTAACAGTTATAACTTCTGAAAAGTTAATAATATTAATAAAATTATATGTATTCATATAATTCATACTAAAATTTATAGTAAATGAAAAAGATTATTAATAAAATAAGTTAATATAATAAAAATAAAGGTTAAAAAACTAATGAAAGTGAGATTATTAAAATTATTATTTTGAAATGTTAAAGAAAAATAAAAGAAAGAGAATCTTATTAAAAAAGCATGAGAAAGTTAATGATATGATGATCAATTAGTTAAATCATTTATATTTAAAATATTATATCATATGGTTAAATTATATAATAAATAAGATCTAATGTTAAATTACATATACAATAAATTATAATTTTTTATTAAAAAAAGTTAAAATTTTAAATTTATATATCTTGCTATTTATTAATCTTAAAAAGTAAAAATATTACTATTTAATAAGTTTTAATGTGATAAATCCAATAAATTAAATTATATTTTTTTTATTAATATTAAATAATAAATAATTTTTAAAATTAAAAATTAAAAAATTAATATATTTTGATAATAATTGATTCAAAAAATTTAAAAAGACTATTATTAAATACATTTTTTAATAATAAATTTAATAAATTTTATTTTATTTTATTTTAAATAATAAGAATATTATTATTTTTAAAAAATAATATTGGAAATTTATGCTTAATTAAAGATATTAGTATTTATTTAATAAATTCAAAAATTTAAAATTAATATAAATAATTAGTCTAAAGTGAAATGAAGGACTCTAATATACTAGTTACATAATTCACAAAATGTTTTTATCTGTTAATTTAATAATTGAGTTAATACTGATTGACTTTTACAATATTTTTTAGTTAAAATAATTTTGAATTTAATAATGATTTCTGTTTTTTAATATATATTTAAAATTGATTTTATAATATATTAAGAAATTTTTGTATATTTAAGATTAAAACAAATATAATAATGATTAATACAATTAATGCAACAAATATATTATATTAATTAATATAAAAATTTAGTCAAGTATGATACAAATATAACATTAATTTATCTAATACATATAAAATTTCTAATTCTATGTATATAATTAGCAAATTATATTCTAAAATCTTTATTTTAGCATTAGTTATTTTTAATATAATCAAAAATTATATAAAATAAAATTTTTAAATTAATATTAAAAGAATGATATTTTTTTTCTAATAAATCTGCTAATTATACTACTTATAATTTATATATATACTGTATATATAATCATATTTATTAATTTATATTTATAAAAATTATTATTTTTTTTTTTAATGAGATTGAAGTAATTTATAATAAAATTTTATTATATATATAATATTTTATCATTTTAATGTTTTGTAAAAATAATTATTTTAAAAATAATAGAAAAGTAATCAAATTTCTATTTTTAATTAAGAAAAATAGCCTTTTCTTCAATAGGAAACCCTAACTTTTCCAAGGATCTTCGAATATTATCATTAAATTGATCAGTACCACAAGCAACTAATTTAACCTGTTTAGAATCATCCATGGTAAATTGTCTCATATAATTATTCATCTCATTAATTGTGTATAATGGTGATAATGATGTCGTTATATAGTTATCATTTTCAATATCAACAGTATCGCTTCCACAGTTATATAATCTTGGTGGAATTGCAGGAGGTGGCACAGAATAATTTTGACTAATCCAATCATATAATATTGTATCATCAATTAATCCACTTAAATCATTCCAAAATCGTGGTGGTTTTAATAAAATATAAGTAATTTTAAGTTTTCCTTCAAGTACTTGAACTAAATTATCCAAATATTTCGGATATATTAGGTCAGCTATTGTATCATTTGCTACTAATAAAAATAATTTGAAATTGGAATCTAAAGTGGCCGCTTTCTCCATATGATATTTTATCTTTAAATTAAAATATTAAATAAACAAACTAATAATTGAAATAATATTTAATGCTTTAAAGTTTGAACTTCTTACCAGTTGTAACATTGGAGTGATCCCAGTACCACCACAGACCATAAATAAATAATCCCAACAGAAATCTTCTCTTTCCATATTTAATAATATTCCACTTCTACCGTCAGGTAAATAATTTAAATTACGGTCTTTATTCTTATGCCGTGAAAAATGATCGCTAGAAGATGATTGAGATGGTAAACCTGGTGATGATAGTCTCGAAACCGGTTTTAAAGCTGGCGATGATAATTGTAATATTCGATCCGCTATATCAAATGGTCCTCTCACTTTGATTTCAAAATTTTTTAATTGCTTATTCTATAAATACAAATAAAAGAAGACAAAAATAATTAATCTAACATTTTATAATATATATGGTAACGATTTAAATTTACTTACTAAATGTTGAGACATAATGCCATCTTTGTATATTTTAACCAATATATAAAAACTATTATCAGTTGTTTGAATTGGAGTATATAGTCTAGTAATCACTTGAGTATTAACAAAACTCATGATTTCAATATAATCACCAGGAAAGAATCTCGGTAATTTCTTGTCTGGATGTAAAACCTGAAATGTGAATTTTTTAACAGGGTTTTTGGCATTGTGTCTAGTTACAGTGTCAATATTGGTTAAAATATATCTTCGGAAAATATTACAATGTAGCGGTATTTCTGCTTGTTTAGATTTTTGCTCTATCCTGGCAACTACCATACTAGCTAATTTAGACGTAGCAAATTTTGAATGACGATACATCGCAACTCTACGATCCTTAAATGTTGTAGCATTAATCATATCAACAGCATTTGCTACACTATGAGGTCTTTTCTTTCCCGTATCATATTCCATTCTTCCATATGCATTGTCCGTTAATACCGATATACTAGGTCGTTGTACATCATAATCATTAGAGTTATTCATAATAACTACTTGATCCGCTGGATCAAAGAAAAAATCTCGTGTAATATCTGTACCAACTACTCTTTTTAATATCCTTTGTCCTCCTGGATGTATAGGAATCCATTTATGTATATCAAATACTAATTCCTCTGCTACGACTAAATTTGCTCCCGCCATAACTCTTTTATTAAATTTCTATAAATTAATTACAAATAAAAAATTAATTTCTTTTTTTTTTTTTTTATAAAAAAAGAAAGATAAAAACTTTTGTATATTCATTACATACATCCCAAGTAACGACAGGTAAATTCATATAAACTACATAAGGAATACACTTTTGAAGCCGTTTTGTTCCATCATTTGTGTCTACTGTCGGCCACAAAAATTGCATATTCTTGATTTTATAATAAAATTCGCTTGCGGTTATCACAAATCCAAAACAAACTATTATGCGTATAAATTTTTTTTTTTTTAAATGTTTAAAAAATAATTATTAGTACCGCAAATTTATAAAAAGTTATTCATTTATAATTACTTACTCAACCAAACTACATAAGCCCAAATGAATGCTTTATTCGCATTATATTGAATCATGCCAAAGAATATATTAACCCTATATGAACAAAAATAAAAGCTATCAATTAAAAAAGATTTTTTTGATTGTTTTAGTAAATATGAAAATACGTACCATGCAGTTAAAAGCAGTGCGCCTCCCAAATAAAAATGTAAATGCTTTAAATTACGAACAATTCCCGTAGCTGCAGATTCAACATTAGCCAATCCCCAAATCGCCATTATGCCCAAAGAAATTTGTATTATTGTTATAGTAAATATAGTTAAGCCTATTCTATAATATTGTTAAGAAAAAAAAAAGTTTAGAATGTGGATTAATTTCTTCATGATAAAGAAGATTTGCTTACTTTGCGTGCGTACTTGCTGCGTGTGTAGTTGTTACTGACATGGCTACAGTGGCAAACATTCCTATAATTAATCCTCCAAATAAATTTAAATTTTGATGCTGAACCATATAGCTATCGATATGCCTTAAATATCTGACTATCCATACTGAACCTAAATTAAATTTAGAATAATAAAAATTTGTAAAAAGTGTAAAAAAAAAAAAAAAATAGTTGTTACATCATTCTTACTTGGAAATAAAACTCCCCAAATAGTAAACATAACAATTCCATGCATCATTAATAATCTCATTCTACCGTCTAGAGCTGAGCTCATACCGCTCCGGAAATTTACTTCTCTCTTACCACGATTTCCACCATGATAAGTTATTTCATTCGAATTAGGATTCCAAGCATAAACCACTAATAATCCATATATACTTTATAAATATATTATTTTAACAATCAACACACCCCTCTTTTTCTTTACATACTTTGAATAGTACCATCGATAGATTTTCGATTATTAGCATTTAAAGGTCGCTTAACTTCAACTTGAGTCATTCCATTCGCAACTTTTGTTTCACCCAATATTGTTATAATTTGATCGTTAGGTAATTCCTGAGGTTTAATCCCAATTCCAATGCCTTTGTAATTCTTTCCAGTGACGGTAATTTCATTAGAACCTTTTTTTTCTTGATTTTGAAATATCATCATGTCGGTTCCTGACATAGCATCACCCTCAGGATTAAATCCTATTCCAAACCATGAATTTGTACTACCCAATGTAATCAAGAAAGTAATGTCAGAACCATCTATTTTCCATTTAAGAATAAATCCATCAGAAAGTGTTATGGTATCATTATAAGTTTTACTATCTTCAGGCATCATTAATGAACTTGTTGGTTGCACAGACCATAGATTTTGCGGATATAATGATATTTTTGGGGAATTCCTCATTAAAATAGTTAATAAGGTTGTATTTTGAATTTTTGCTATATCTTCTTTACTGAAACCCGCATCTTTATTTTCAAACCAAAATCTGTCTGAATCTCTAATTTTAATCCACTGTTCTGAAAAGCTTTTATAAAACAATTCTCCCAAATTTCCTCCATTAATATGATCTTCTGCCAATCCACCCATTAATGCTTCAATTCGATCTACGGATCCATAGGTATCTTCCAATCTTTTTTGCACATCAGGATCGCTCGAAATATCTGCCCAAGATGTTTTTTTTGGTAAACCAAATGCTACTCTTGCATCATTGTATAATGGAATACCGTGATCTCTACTTCGTACAATATCACAACTAAAGAATACAAAGTACATAGGAATTAAAAGAAATCTAAATACTTTGTAATATACAGTTATAACTATCTTTACCTGGCAACATCCATTTGTTCTACTGCCCTGTAAGTAACACTTCGCCTAAATAAATCAAGAAAAAGTTACATAAATGTGATTATATACGTAAATATAATTTTGCAAAATCAAGCTTACATAAAATCAGAGTAGTAGATATCGACTTCTTCTTGTCTATAAATGTTTAAATTTAGATAGATGACTAAAGCAAAAGCACAAAGTTATAACCGATAAATACCTTTGAAGTGCCATAGAGAGAGCAATTGATGGAATTCCAAAGGTTTTTAATAATCCAGGCACTTGTAAATCATTCAATGGCAACGTTGCAAGCGGCTTTCCTTGATAATTTACAATATCATAAAAATTGCTAAATTTATAAAGGGTGAGATTTATGATATAATAATATAAATACAATCTTTGATCACATTTTGGTTTTACCTAACTTCGGAATGACCATAACGAAAAGTTACGGTAGCAAAGAAAGTATCAATCTCCGGTTTAAGATCTGGTTTATATCCCTCATATTTTGGCAAAGGAATTCCCAATGCAGTTCCGACTATGATATTTATAAATTATAAATCAACGGCAATATAACATGTTTTAAAAATCATGATTTAACTTACGATATTCATAATAATTTATTCTTTGAATAAAAGCGATAACCCATCTTCTAGCTTCCTGAAAATATTGTTCATCGTCCCAACCATTCCCATGAATGGCAAAAAATTCATCACACAATCGATTATGTTCACGTAGGAGAATTACGTGAAACAAATCTGTAAAAACGTTTCTAAATTTTACATGATATCCCAATATGTATCCTCCATTCTCATCAACATATGGATATCCTAACTCCCCATCGGGCGTTGAATTATCTATTTCCAACCGCATTTTCCCGTTATTACCATAATCTCTAATTCGTTGCAAATCATCAGCATTGTTACCATAAATTGTAGACGCGTCAACAAATGAAGTGACTTTATTTATTCCTGTTTGTCCACCTCTTTGTTCTGATCGATTAAACGGTAACGATTCCTATAACATATTATATCAGATATTATGTAATGATTCTTATTATAACTACGATAATAAATATTTTACACTTACATTAGCAAAAGTAAAGTTTGCTGGTTTTGGACCGTTCCTATAGCTAGATAAATACGATATATCGCCCTGAGGAATATAAATCCCTGTTGGATAATTTTCCCCCAATTTTGATCCAGCACTGACGTCCATTATCATGAAAAATCCCCAAAATGTTAACTTTATTTTTTCATTTAGAAAATATTTTAAAAAAAAAAAATTAAATTAAATTACTTAATAATGTACCGCAGTAAGAACCATTCTGCGCCACCGTAATTTTGAATACTTACGACATGAGAAATATCCCGTTTACTTTTGAACTTCTCCAAATGTGTTAGATCGAATATATCATCTTCATTCATTTGCATAGACATTAATTTATTACTAACACATCTAGGCAAAGGAAATATGCCGTCGGGTAATGTAGCATTACAAGCAAGGAATGCATTTGGGACATTGGTAGTATAATTTCCTGGTGTGGGAATCATACTAAAATTTTCATCCGCGAAGTTAGACATTGATGGAACATTTCTCGCGAAGGGAGTTTTCATAACACCAGCTAAAGGATCATTTCTGTTATTTCCTTCTCCATTTAAAGAACGATACTCCTGATATGTAATGTTTACGAGTAAAAAAAGAATTGTGAAAATAACATGGAATAGAAATTTGAACGAGTTATTTGCACATGTCATATTTATTAATTTTTTTTTTTTTTTTTTAAAAAAAAAACTTCTACGGTATTAAAATTTAATGAAGGATTAAAATTTCATTTTTTAAGATTTAAATCATTTCTTTATTTTTTTTATTTTTGGAATTTTGATACTATGCAAGATAAACTTGTTAGATTATCAAAAAAAAAAAGAATTAAATCGATGGTGCGCGACCTGATGACATATGTAAATTAAAATAAATGAATTCATATTAAATAATTTTTAAATAAAAAAACTGGTAATACAATTCCTTAATAAGAAGTAACTCCGAACTCCGACTATATAGTATCGCACGTCATTTTTCTTATCGTTCCTGTAAGCCATTTTCATTGACTTTCATCCGTTGTAATGATGGGAGAATTCTGTTTTAGTTGAAAACTTTTCACATTTGTTTTATTAAATATTTGGATGAAGGAATCCACTTGGAAACAATTCTTTGAGGAAAATACTAACTAGATTATGCTTAGGTAAGCAAAATCATATTACGTAAAGGTTAAGATGCAATTTTTCAAAATTTATGAATTTTTTTTCTGTTTTAACAATATAATTTAATTGCTCTTTATTAAAATATTATTTTGACTTAAAGTAAATAACTCTATTAACGAAATTATAATTATTATTTTGTAAAATCATATATAATCTTATAAATTTTTTTAATTCAAGAATAAAGCTTTTTCATCAATAGGAAAACATAACCTTTCCAAGGATTTTCTAATGCTCTCATTAAATTGATCGGTACCACAAACAACTACTTTAACTCCTTTAGTATTATCCATAGCAAATAATCTCATATAATTTTGTCTTTCACTCATTAACATCATTTCGTTCGTTTGTTGACTATTTCTGACCAGAGCAGTATTATTTGAATAATGTTGGTTATACATTTGATCAGGATCATTTATACGTTCGTCAAATGTTTCACAGGTTGGGCTATAGTCAGGAACATTACCTTTGCCGTTAAATCTTGGTGGAATTGCAGGTGGAGGCACGGAATAATTTTGACTAATCCAATCATATAATTTTGTATCATCAATTGTTCCGCTGAGTCCTTTCCAAATTTGTGGAGGATTTGATAAAATATAAGTAATTTTAAGTTTCCCCTTAAGTACTTGACATATATAGTCCAAATATTTTGGATATATTAAATCTGCTATTGTACCATTTGCTATTAATAAAAATAAGTTGAAATCGGAATTGGAAGATGCCGCTTTATCCATATGATATTGTATCTTATAAAATCAAATTAAAGAAAAATTAAAAAGTTTTGTTTAAAAAAAAAAAAGAGAGAGAAAGAAAGTGATTTGATAACGTACCAATTGCAACATTGGAGCAATTCCAGTACCACAACAAATCATAAACAGAGAATCCCAACATAAATCTTTTCTTTCCTTATTTAATATTATTCCACTTCTACCTTCAAGAATACTATTAAATTGACTACCAAAATCACTATTATATATACCATTCTGTTGTAAATATGTAGCGACACTGTGTGACCGTCTCATATCGTAAACACTAAGAGTTTTGTTCGTGTCACCAAATGTTGTGTGATATGGAGAGGGTGATGAAGATCTAGTTATAGGGGATGTGTCCAATAATGGTAGCACCATTCGATTTGCTATATCAAATGGTCCCCTCACCTTAATCTCAAAATTTTTTAATTGTTTATTCTATGTTACAAAAAGAAAAAAAAAGTGATTAATATATACATGTATATTTAGATATATATATATTTTTTTTTTCAAAAAAAAAATTTGATAAACTTACTAAATGTTGAGACATAATACCATCTTTGTATATTTTAACCAATATACAAAAACTATTGTCAGTTGGTCCCTGAATTGGAGTATATAGTCTGGTAATCACTTGATTATTAGCAAAACTCATGATTTCAATATAATCACCAGGAAGAAATCTTGGTAATCTGTCTTTTTGATGTATAACTTGAAACGTGAATTTTTTAACAGGATTTGTAGCATTGTGTCTAGTTACAACTTCAATATTGGTTAATATATATCTTCGGAAAATATGATAACTAGGTATTGGTTGTGTTGCCTTTTCGTTATTTGTTTCAAAATTTTTCATCTGTTGTGGTTTAGTTGTATTTGTAACTTCCGCGTCTCTTAACCTGGCGATTACCATACTAGCTAATTTAGACGTAGCAAATTTTGAATGACGATGCATCGCAACTCTACGATCCTTATATGTTTTGGCATTAACCATGTCAACAACATTTGCTACACTACGAGGTCTTTCCTTCTCCTTTTTAGAATCGTATTTCGATTTTTCTTTATATGTATTATCCGTCAATGCGGAGATACTGGGTTGTTGAACATCGCTATATTCAACTTTAACGTCAGTGTTGATAACTATTTGATCTGTAGGATCGAAGAAAAAATCTTGTGTAATATCAGTTCCAACTACTCTTCTTAATATTCTTTGTCCTCCCGGATGTACAGGAATCCATCGATGTATATCAAATACTAATCCCTCTGCTATAACTAAATTGGCTCCCGTCATAACTCTGTTATTAAATTCCTGTAAAACAAGTGGAAAAAAATTTTAATTAATTTTTTTTTTTTTTTTTCTAAAGAAAAAAGTATTTTGTTACATACATCCCAAGTAATGACAGGTAAATTTTCAAAAATATCTTCAGGGATACAATTATGAATCCGTTTTGTCGAATCTTCCGTAAACCTTACAGGCCACAAGAATTGCATATTCTTGATTTTATAATAAAATTCACTTGCGGTTATCGCAAATCCAAAAAAAACTATTACGCGTAAATTTTTTTTTAAAAAATTAATAAATTATTACTAATAACGTACGTATAGTCATTTTATTTATCAATGTACTTACCCAACCAAACTAAATAAGCCCAAATGAATGCCTTATTCGCTCCATAAACACTCAAGCCTAAGAATATATTAACCCTATATGAACAAAATTATATTAAATTAATATGTGTCAAATATTTTTTTTTCCTTGCTTTTTTCTTTTTATTTTAGTAAATATGAAATACATACCATGCGGCTAAAAGCAGTGAGCCTCCCAAGTAAAAATGTAAATGCTTTAAATTACGAACAATTCCTGTTGCTGCAGATTCAACATTAGCCAATCCCCAAATCGCCATTATACCCAAAGAAATTTGTATTACTGTGAAAGTAAATATTATTATGCCCAGGCTATTAGATTAAAAAAAAGGTGAGAATTTATGGATTCAATCCTTACAAATAAAGGTTAAACAAAATTGCTTACATTGCATGAGGACTTTTTGCGTGTGTAGACGTTACTGACATGGCTACTGCGCCAAATATTCCTACTACCATTCCGCCAAATAAATTTAAATTTCGATGCTGTACCATATAGCTATCGATATGCCTTAAATATCTGACTATCCATACCGAACCTGAATTCAGAATTATAAAAACTTTGTAAAAAAAGTAAGATAAAAATAAAACACAGATAAATGTGATTTTATACTTACATGGGAGTAAAACTCCCCAAATAATAAACATAACAATTCCATGCATCATTAATAATTTCATTCTACCATCTGCAAGATTTGAGCTTAGACCGCTTCGGAAATTCACTTCTCTTTTACCACGATTTCCACCATGATAAGTTATTTCATTCGAATTAGGATTCCAAGCATAAACCACTAAAAAATCCATAAAATACGTGTTATAAACATATTATTTTAACAATCAACACACCCTCTTCTTTTTATTTTTTTTTTACATACTTTGAATAGTACCATCGATAGATTTTCGATTTTCAGCAATTAAAGGTCGCTTGACTTCAACTTGAGTCATTCCATCCACAACTCTTGTTGCGCTTAATAATGTCAAAATTTGATCATTATCAGGTAACTCTTTAGGTTTAATCGCAAGTCCAATACCCTTGTAATTCTTTCCAGTGACGGTAATTTCATTAGAACCTTCTTTCTTTTGATTTTGAAATATCATCATGTCGGTTCCTGACATACCATCACCTTCAGGATTAAATCCTATTCCAAACCATGAATTTGTACTACTCAATGTAATCAAGAAAGTAATGTCAGAGCCATCTATTTTCCATTGAATAACAAATCCATCAGCAAGTGGTAGAGCATCCTTATAAGCAGCATTATCTTCTGGTATTTTTAATGAAGCTGGTGGCTGTACAAACCAAAGATTTTGCGGGTATAATGATGATTTTGGAGTGTTCCTTGTTAAAATATCTAATAAAGTTGTTGTTTGAATTTTTGCTATATCTTCTTTACTGAACCCCGCATCTTTATTTTCATACCAAAATCTATCTGAATCTCTAATATTTATCCATTGTTCTGAAAAGCTTTTATAAAACAACTCTCCGTAATTTCCTCCATTAACGTGATCTTCGGCCAATCCACCCATTAATGCTTCAATTCGATCTACGGTTCCATAGGTATCTTCCAATCTTTTTTGCACATCAGGATCGCTCGAGATATCTGCCCAAGATGATTTTTTTGGTAAACCAAATGCTACTCTTGCATCATTATAAAAAGGAATACCACGATCTCTACTTCGAACTGTATCAAGACTAAAGAATACAAAATACATAGGAATTAAAAGGAATCCAAATACTTTTGAAAATACAATAATAACTAACTTTACCTGGCAATATCCATATGTTCTACTGATCGGTGAATATAACTTCGCCTAAATAGATTAATGAAGAGAGTTATAAAAATGTGATTATATAAATAAAACTTTCACAAATAAAATCTTACATAAAATCAGAGAAATAGATATCAACTTCTTCTTGTCTATAAAATGTTAATGAAGTCAGATGATTAATAATATTTGAAAACAAAAAACACAAATTTTAACTATGAAAAATACCTTTGAAGTGCCAACGAGAGAGCAATTGATGGAACTCCAATGGTTTTTAATAGTCCAGGTGCTTGTACATCATTCAATGCCAATGTTGTAATCTGTTCTCCTTGATTATTTACGATGTCATAAAAATCGCTAATATATAGAGTTAGAATTATTTTAATATGATATTATAATATAAAATAATATAATCTATTTAATTCGTTTTTACCTGATCTCGGAATGACCATAACGATAAGTTACGGTAGCAAAGAAAGTATCGATTTCCGGTTTAAGGTCAGGTTTATATCCCTCATATTTGGGCAAAGGAATTCCCATTGCAGTTCCGACTATGAAATTTATATATCATAAATCATATCATAAATCAATGACAATATAAAATGTTTTTAAAAATCATGATTTAACTTACGATATTCATAATAAGTAATTTTTTGAATAAAAGCGATAACCCATCTTCTAGCTTCC